CACCTCCCACTACGAGCTCCACTGCAGCTCCACTCCATCTACAGAGAGCTTACCTCCAGCCCAGCACACACCACCGGCTCACTGGGGTTTTGGAGGCGAGTTTATCCCCAGGGTAGGTGGAAGACAACAAAATATGAGTCGTCTAGGACATAGTTGTATATACATATTCCCTGTACATACAACGCATTCTCCTGCAGCCCAGGGGCTGGGCAGGAGGCAGAGTTTATAGGCAACGCGCTCCAGAGGCTGCTGCTCTTAATGAAAACTCCAGATTTCACCTTTGCCCTCTGCATTTTCCTTGCACAGGGGCAGGAAAAAACAAAGCACATCTTCCAAGACACCAAAGCAGGTCCTATAGAACACCTTCTTACACTTCTTAAATGCTTTAATCCTCTTCACACTGAATGACAGTTCTTAGAGGGCGGTGTTTTACTTCTTGCTCAGATGCACATCTGGACAGCATTAACACTTAGTCGTTGACTGTGCTCTCCAGGACAACCTTGTCCTTGCGATGCAAGTTCCAACTGTGGACCAGACTTTAGCATAACAGAAATAAGTATCTAGAGGAGTACTAAGGATACCATTTATTTTCAAAATCACTAAAAACCCCAAACAAAACAGTTTATGGCGATACAGATTTACATAACAGAGACAGCAAATTGAAAAATGTACAATCTATTTCATGTTATTGCACTCACTTTTTTATAATATACAAGGCATATTAAACAGTTTTCATTAAAAGAAGTTTTATTTATATAAATAAAAGTGTAAATATACAGTATCATACAAGAAGTGTATCAGCCTAACACACAAAACTACCTAGAGTGGGATCCCAATTTCTCACATGATCTAGTCTACTCCTCATCAATATTTCCACATATACATTTACATACCCTAAATGTAGAATCAGGTAAACATTCCCATCTGGGAATAGTTCCTTCAGATTTTGACAAGAACCATTGCAGAACATTAGCTAGGGTTAATTTTAAGTGAGGGTCGTTAGAAAATATGAATCACTCAACAGTTCATTAATACTTACCTGCCCTCTTTTTTTTTTTTTTCTTTTTAGCAAGAAAATGATCAGATGTTGCTCCCTCCCTAATTTAGGCCTAATCTCACAGTTTTTAATACAGATGCACTCCCCACAGAAGCTGGAAAGAGCTCCCAGGTACAAAAGGCTGCAGAATATGCAATGGCAGTATCACACCAGAGCCCGCTCTCATATTCAGGACGTGCACCCTGAGCTGCCCCAGGCCTGGAAGCGGCAAACCCCCCCACCAGGCCTTCCCCATCTAGGAGCAAATTCACCTTATCTGGAATGCCTTCAGATCCCTGGTGAAGCGTTGTGGACCAAGTCCATAATTTCATCCTGATTTTTTGGTATTCCAAGATGCAGCTGCAAGTCTTTGGAGAGTCATCACTCTCCTAGAGCTTGGCCAACCCTCTGGCACGGCAAAGAATCACCGTGGGGACCGATATGCAAACAGCAAGGCCAAAAATGCTCGTGAACCTACGGAATACTGATGAACTAATGCAATGCCATCTGTCATTTTGGTGCGGCAGGTGCGTAACCAAAGATTCACTACATCTGTTTGGTCTACCCATCCTGTTGTAATAAAGCAGACCCATGTTGCATAAATCCTGGGGCTTTTATGGGGAATGTCACCCCAATAGAGACATCAGGAAATGCTACTCTAACCATATCAACACTGGTAGCATCAGTGAAGATGTTTCTTGTTCTTTCACACACACAAAAAAAGTATTTTCAGGAACATAAACAATCAGGGTTAAATACTATTCTTTTTCTTGCTGTAATGTTAGTAGAGGAGTGTATCATTCTACTCATTGTAACTATCAGACTTAAAACATTAAACCTATCTTTTAAATTATAGCTACTACTGAATATCCCCACACACAAATATCCCCATCTTTTTGCTGTTACTCAGCCAACACATATCTACGTGCAAAGCAGACCTATGTTGCATAAATCCTGGGGCTTTTATGGGGAATGTCACCCCAATAGAGACATCAGGAAATGCTACTCTAACCATATCAACACTGGTAGCATCAGTGAAGATGTTTCTTGTTCTTTCACACACACACAAAAAAGTATTTTCAGGAACATAAACAATCAGGGTTAAATACTATTCTGTTTCTTGCTGTAATGTTAGTAGAGGAGTGTATCATTCTACTCATTGTAACTATCAGACTTAAAACATTAAACCTATCTTTTAAATTATAGCTACTACTGAATATCCCCACACACAAATATCCCCATCTTTTTGCTGTTACTCAGCCAACACATATCTACGTGCATGTAAAATAAAATATTGAACAGTATTCGATTACTGAAAAATGAAAGCCTTCTAAATCACTCACAATGAACAGTACCTGCAAATAAGCGTCTGAAAATATTCACCACGTATCATCTTAAGACACCTCAAATTAAGTTTAATTTACAATACGAAGATTTTACCTTTGAGCTCACACCGGTTTAGGAGTGAGGGAGACATACGCCCTCCTGCGTTGGAACCTCGAAAATTTTAAACTATGGACTGAAAAAAAATGCCATTTCCTAAAACACAACTGTGATTTACCACATTAAAGTAGCAAAAAGTCAGTACTGCACTTGTACGTATTATACGTATACAGGTATGTATTCACTACGCTGCATTAAATTCCACATGCATTTTATGTATCTATTATACACGCTATTACAGTCAGATTTTGGTCATTCCTGAACAAGGCCTCACCATTTAATTGTCACTGCCAAATGCCTTCTCCCAGTTTTTCAGCAAATATGCAGGGGTAACCTCTTTTATCCCAGCACAGGCCTGCAACCTCAGTGTGGTCCTCTGACCGCAAGTGCTGCATCCTCCTGAAGCCTCTCCCCACCACGGAGGTGACTGGAGGCAAGGACCAGTCCCGACAGAGCAGCTGAGCTTTGGGGTCACAGGGGATGCAACTCCACCGTCATTTCACAGCACTGAACCTGAATTAGTTTCAACAGAAATCCTGCAGGCAAAGCAGCTGTAGGACTACGTACAGTATTGGCTTTCCTGTAACCAAAAGCTGCATCTCTCCCTGGATTCACATGCTAATACATCACTGAAAAAGAATTCAACCTATTCATTTTTAGGCAAACGTTGCACAGCTTTTCTGCTTGCCTCGTCTCAGGTTGCCTCACAGAACTGGATTTTCCTCTGCACATCACGAGCTGCAGTCTAATGAAGCTGTCACAGAAATGAACCAAACTGAGTGCTCCACTAACCTGGAAGCAATTGCTCCAAGCACTGCTGAATAAATGTAAATGAACTGAACTATAGTATGATCTTGGGGTAGGGCCAAGCGACAAGCCCAGACCTTTTTGTAACAGCTACACAGTGTCTTGGCTCACTATAAACATAGGCAGCGCTTCAGATTTGGACCAGCTCCAGGCTAAGAGCTCTTCACCCTGGGCATGTTGGCTGCAAGCGGTCTCCAGCCGCATGTGACAAACAACCTGAGCACTCTGGAACAACCAACTTGTTCTCAGCTGATAAGGACACTGGCCCATTTCCTCCTGTATCTCTTTTATGTTGTTTAGCTATCCCAGATGTAGGAAGAAAAATAACAGAGTCTAATCTCTTGCACCCATACACTCTCCTCCCAACACAGCAGACTATAAATAACACTCAGCAGCACGGCGGACCGCTACCGATACCTCTACTGTGAGTAGAGGTGAGAAAATCCAAACTAAGCACCCGCGGTATTGCAACCCTTTCGGTTTTGCTGTATCTAACACCACGGTTTCTCCCATCTACACCGTTTTCAGTTTCACCATCCAGAACCCTCAGCATCAGCCTGTTCCCGACGCAGCTGGGCACACTTGTATCTTCCACACACATCCTCACCCACTCTCACACAAGCAAAAGTAAATACTGGGCAGGAGAAAACAAAAGAGAGCTATTAAAAGCCACCACAAATATGGCCAGTTCAGATTTAATCTGTTATAATCCACATCCTTAGACCACCATTTTCCAGTTTGAGTGTTTCAAGTTGGGCAGCCTTAAACCTCTTGCAGCCAAATAAAAGCAGCCTGGCTTTTAGATGTACTTAGCGATCGCTGAAGTCTGTGGGATCTGCAAGCACTCAGCACCTGAAATTATCCCCCTTTTAAAAATATATATATTTTAAAGGTGCCTAACATTAGAAGCCTAAATTTGAAAATTCAGACCCCAATTTTTATCGCTCCCATTTTAATCACAACTAACAACTCAGTCTACACCTTGGTGGACAACCACCTATTATTTGGACATGATTTTCCTGCTCACAGATTTCTACCACATTAATGCCAAGTGCTTTCAGATACAAGTTGCATCTAAGAGCAGATTCAGTTGTGGTGGATGCTGAGTTAGTTCATCAGTTTTAAAAGGATTTTTCAGCTTTGCAATAAAATGCTCATGTTTTAGGCATAAAAGTTGTGCAAAATTATACTCTCTTGTCATGCATTTTTAGCAAAACTGCACTTAGAAGAATAAAGTGAGATTGTTCCAGACATTCTCTTATTACAACAAAAAAGGACCAGACCCTAAATAAGTGCCCTGAAGTCTTATTACAGCTAAGTGATACAGTACAGTCTAAATACCCATCCTTGTCAACAGGATGGCAACCAACAAGTTATATTCCCAACGCTCTGCAGATACTAAAAATATCAGGGACAGGCACAGTGTTATTTATTTCAGAGAAAATACTTTAAACCAAACCCAGGAGAGATCTTGAAGTTCCATTAAAACTGCCACATAATACAAAAACGTCTCTAACATTTGGCTTCCTTCATCCTCGATAATTAGGTGAGATTTTATGATGCTCATCACATGCTTGCTCAGTGGTTCTCCAAGGCTCTTAGCACCTCCCTGTAGAGCATTAAGACACTTCTGTGTGGCTTTAGAAACAAAGACAGCTTCTAGCCAGTTTTAAATGTTTCATCTTAGCAAGTGTAATTAGATGTAGTGCTTCCATCATACTGAAGTTCTGTGTTTTCTGATTAGTAACTGAACAGGGCCCTCTGGCACAGATTTAATAATGTTCCAGGCATCGTAATGCATGAGGCCAAGTAATGATTTTCCACTAACAGCAATTATTTCATCTCCAGTTTCTATGTTTCCAGATTGCTCCGCAGCACCACCTAGGAGCAAAAGGGGAAAAAAGTCAGTGTAAAAAAAAAAGTAAACGCACAAAAATTTTCTTTCCACCATGATGAACAGCAAATAAACCATTTTTTCCAACAGTGGCAATTTTAGTACAAGTCACTTATGTTCAGCTCAGCTCTAGCAATCTACCCCAGGCCACATATCTCACCAAAAATGTTATTTTAACCAAGATAAATCCTTGTTCTCAGAAAAAAATGTCTGTTTTTGAAGGAAGCAGCATGAGTGCATGAAATATGCTGTACGTTATCTCTGTAGCTGTAAGAAAACCTGGTTGTATGTGGCATGGATGTATTTTCTCAAACAGAATTTTAACATGGTAATAAGCAGATAATGCAGTAGATTGTAAAACCCAGATAACAGGGATGGATAAATCAAACATGGGTAGCAAACTTAGGGCAAACACATGAGACAGAAACAGCTCCTAGGGAGGGGTACACCCTTCACTGCTGATGAAAGTTTGTTTTCTGTAATGACAATTTAACTAACATCAGCCATCACGGGGAGAGGAAGGGAAAAGGACTGTATCTAAGGATATAAATTAATGAGCTCAAAAATTAAACATGCTCTTGACCCTCAGAATCAATTTCTAAAGCGGGGAAAACAAACACACACACAGGCATTGATAAACAATTCAGGAAATATCAGTTTGATTTTTTTCCTTGATGAGAGAATAAACCATTGAAAAGTAATCCTGTAAAAATGCTGCACACCTGTAACTTCATTGAGAGTTTCAGCTTCCTTTAGAAAGTGCTATGTTTTTCACTAAACTGAATCCCAGACTAAGACATATTAAAATCACAGTATAGTTGTGGGATTGGTTTCCTTTCTATACACAAGTTCATACAAGTTTAACTACCTGCTGACAAACAAAGCATCCAAGAGTGGCAGTTTTTGAATACAAACATCACATATTCTTGGTGAAAGCTAATACTGATATCTAACAAAAAAAAAAAAAAACAGACCAAAAAAAAGGTAAAATTAATAATTGGGTATAATTATTCCAAAGCAGGACGGTGCTTTGGAACCACACTGATTACCTGCACCGTGCTTCTCTTAGAAAAGAGAATCAGATAAGGCATGAACTTCTCAAACCGTTACATACGATACTGCTGCTGTAAATTAATGTCTAGAATAGTGGACAAGCGCAGGAGCAAATTGCATCATATTTAGTAAATCAGATTGCTCCACAAACATTTACTAGCAGATGCAACCCCTAGCCATTCCCAGGCGTGTATTTTTAATGACCACTTTGGCTAGTAAGTGGTAATAAATGAGGGCCACAAAAACCACCCTTGCTTCAAAAAAAAAAATTGAGTCCAAGAATTAAAACATCTGCATAATGCCCAAAAGGAAAACCGGGATAATATCAACTGCATGCTTGTAGTACCTTTAAATACTCTTTTTACAAGCAAGGGCCTGTCTCCAGCAATGGAAGCTTTTCCACCATCAAGACTGAATCCCAAGCCAGCAGAGGTTTTCAATAATTCAACACAGATGACATCATTCATATCCAGGTTTGGATCTGTGACAGAATATACACAGCATCTTGTTATGCAGTTAACAGTAAATTGCAAGTTGTGTTTGGCTGGTTTTGTTTTTGCTGCAGTGACAAAGCAATTCAGAGTTCAGTTCATATTCAGACTAGAACATGTGGTCACCCAGTTTCTCAGAAGTGAATGTGTATTATTGCAGCTGTGAAGGTGAGACAGTACAAAATAGATTTATGCACAGAGACATTTTCATTTTGCATGTTAAACAAAAACCTGCCAAGGTTTTTTTTGGGTTGTTTTTTTTTTTTTTGGCAAAATTAACACTTAGGAAACTTAGCAAAGACTCTAAACATCAACAAAATATCTGAAAAATTACAAAAAATAGTGAGTGACGAGCATTTCTTTTTTCTTTCATTTGTTCTCACTTGCTTATTCAATGAGCCACATCTTTTTACATAACAGTAATGAATGAAACATTAAACAAACATGTTTCATGCTCTTAAGGAAACGTCTGTAATCACTCACTAGTGTGAATAATTGTTTCTGGTCTCATATCTATGGAAATAACCATAATTAACTGTAGGTCCATCCTGCCTCCTACATAGCAGATATTTTTAGAATGCAATATTGCTGTAGCTGACATAAATATGATTTTGCTTAGGAGGAAATAAATCTACAATTTTGGAAAACGTGACCCTCTTTGCCCTATGTGAATGTAAAAATTATGCAGTCTGCATTATCACAAATTACTGCTACTGTTATCTCAAACAACTTTAAATGTTATCTAAAACATTTGAAGATGTGCTTTGCCTTGCAGGATGGAATTATATTCTTAATAATCCAATACTATGTTGTTTATGAGATAATGTTGCCCCCTAGTGCCTGCACCCAGCAGATATTCTGCATTTGCCAATGTGCATGATGCAGGGAGTTTAGGGTAGAAAGGGATTCTGAAGTAATTACGTATATTATATCCATGGGAGCAATTCCAGAAAGGCCGATCCATTCATTTACAGAGTGCTTCTTATTTCTTTTAAGCTGTATTACAAAGCTGTACTATAAAACCCAGTGAAAGCATAAAACAATAAAAACTGCTGCAGGGGAAAAAAAAAACCAAAACAGTAATGATTACAGCCAGCGGGTTAAAAATGGGTGAGTGTCAGCCCCACGTCCTGTTTTGGGTGGTGTGAGCTGAGTGCCTGGTATTGGAAGCCCCATCACCAAATCTCTCAGCAATAAACTGTAATCACTGCCCACTCCCTCCCAGGGACACTGCAGCAGTGCAGGGCTGAAGCAGGTCATCCCCTGCTCCTGAAGCAGCAGCATACAGACGGGTACTAAAGGGTTTTGTGTCTTAATTCTACAAAAAAATTTGAGAGAACTGTTTGTAACACCCCAAGTGCAGCCTGCACACTGAAATGCTGTCTTGTTCCCAAACAGGAACTTACCATTCCACTGATACATTTCTGCTTAAACCATTTATCCCAGTTTCCTATGGGATGGCCGACTTGGATTTGTCTTAGCTCCATTTACTGTAATATCAAAATAATTTTTTCTATGGTTTTGGTAGAAACAGTATGAAATCTGCTATTACAAAGAGCAAGTTCAGTTCCTATGCATAACAAACTGCAGGGCTTGGGGGTTTTCTTTGAGGCTGGGTTTTTTTGGGTTTGGTTTTTTTTTTTTGGTTGTTTGCTTTCTTGCACTGACTACTGTTATTACTTAAAAGCAGTTTATCCTGGATTGAAAGAATATGTGGAATCACTAACTTTAGTAGAAATTGGATTAGGCCCTAAATGTCCTTCTAAGTTTCTGCCTAGTTATGATATTTATAAAAAAAAAAACCAAAAACCAAACTACGTTTAGGCTCCAAAGAGAACAAATAAAATTTGAAGGTAATTTCATTTGCTCCCTTCAATTACGTAAGGCACAGACGCTTTTAATCTATAACACTTGGACATTTTTCCCTTCAGTCTGCTCTGCAACGGAATCCTTCCAACTGTTCTTGGACAAAGATCATACCTGTTCCTATTTCCATGGAAACATCCTTTCCAGACCTCACACATTTTCTGCCAGTAGCGGATATCTCAAGTCTGGAGGAATTGTTTGCTTTGTCTTTTTCCTTCTGGATGACAATGACTGCATATTTGTATAGTCTTGCCTGATGAAGAGCATTCAGGACATCCCCATGGACTGAGCTCACAAGAGACTTGCTATTGATTGACAGAACAAGATCTCCTCGATGAATAGTCCCTTCTTGAGATGCCACTCCCTTTGAAAACACTCTGTGGACCTACAAGAAAGATTTTAACTTAAGGATGCTTTAACCTCATGACCACACATAGTGCTCTACAGGCCAGGGTGAACACAGAGTCCCTACCAAAGTTTGCAATCAGTGCCCACTGCTTGGATATCAAGCCTAAGTGACTGGACAAGAACTGCAGTGAGGGATGGGGGGGAAAGCAGAGGAAAAGATGCTATTATTGCATGGTCATTTCTAAGCCAAAGACAACCAAAACCAGCTAGAGAATGTAACCTCACAAATCACTTATGCTTTCACTGAACTCCTCAAAGGTCTTCAATTAACATACTTCCAAGTGATACACAGGTTAAAACCACATCCGTGCTACAGCAAACACCAAGAACAACATTGCGGTTTGCGATACCCACTCCCCCAATTCCCACTGTCTGGAACATGCATGCTGTGCTGTTTTCAAATGCACACTTCTAAGCGGTGCACAGCATCTGTGCAAAGAAAGGCTATGACTTACTGCAGCTGTACAAGTATTTAATTGTCCATCTCAATTTGGCTGATCAAATACCATGCAAATAGATGCAAAGGAACAATTTACTGGCTTGAAATGTGTTTTTTCTAGAGAAAAAAATACTCTATTCGCAGTGGATTAAACTTTGATTAAACTCCAGTAAGTGCAGCTGAGACGTAGATGTGTGCCATTTACTGGAATAAATGACTGAATAAAATACTCAAGACCCGGTATTTAAAGACTTGCCTATCAGGCACTGTAATTTTAGCAGCCAGAATAGGGTTTCCCATATTCTGCACACAGTTCTAGGTCCACTGGGCAAAGGTTCAAGGCAGCAAATCTGTGGACACAATTCTGCACGGCATTTTCTCTAGGAATTTATCCTAATACCCAGACCAGCAGCGAGGAATCAGAAGCCTTTTGGCCCCTGTTCCCTCTCATTGCAGGGCGATGCTGAGATGGGCACCTGTCATAAATCTACAGATTCAAGGAGGTAAATTTCCAGCCAGTCTAAGCAGGCATTCAAAGCTGGAATAACAGCCTCAATGGCAGATGTAGACACCCAAATGCAAGAGGTAAGTGGAATACAGGTCATGTCCAAAACATCTGCTGCCTACCCTCACACGCTCAAGTCCTCAGTACCTTGAAGCTCATTTGGCATTTCTATTCCTGCACCCAAGTGTGGGCAGAACAGCCCATCTAAGCAGCTCAGCACCCAATGCCAACCCTAAATCCAGCTGGGACCCAGAATCACAGTAGGTCACAGACATTAAAATGTTCCCCACCTGAGAAACTTGCTTTACACACACTGAACAAAGAGTGTCTGGAAACAGCAGGAGCTGATGCTCTTTTGGTCTCATGGCTAATGGCATTCAGAAGAAAGACTTCATCAGCTACTCAGCCTGAGAGGGCTCAAGATCGTAGTTTTAGGTAGTGTCCCAGTTTCTAGGTCAGGAGCTCTATGGGGTGGGACACTGTTGAGCCTTCCTCTTGCTCACAGCTGACACTGCGAGTGTTTGGGCCAGAGACAGGGAACACAACCTTTGTAGCGAGAGAAGTAGAGTCCATTCTCTAGACTGTGACCATGTTCTAACTCAATGCCTACTTAATGTAAAATACATTTACTTACATTGGTTTTGTCTAAGAGCAAAACCCAGAAGATTCCTGCAAGGGCTGCTGCAGGCCCCAAAGACTGAGGACATACCCTTCTTCTAATCTCAGCACTTAATGGATCTCTCTCTTTCAGGGCAGAATTTAAATGCCTATCTTGTGTAAAGAAATTGTCACACAGGACACCGGTTGTCTTGGATTTTTCTGTCTCATTAATCCATTTTTGAACAGTATATAAGCTGCTTGGTATTACTTTTTACACACCAACATCACTTAATGGCACACAGTATCTTTGGTTCAGAATACTGTATAAGACTTTTTTTAAAAAAACAACAAACAACAAAACCACAACCCTCACTTACTGACCACACACAGGGCTTAATAACACGAAAACAAATTTGTGACGTGAAATCCAGAATGTTTGCTGAGGTCTGAAACAGTCATTCTCAGGATTTGCAAAATCCTTCAAAAACTTTGCTGCACAGAGTTTACTTTCAAGGGCTGGGAATGAAAATCTACCCTAAAAGGTTGCATGCACTGCAACTGCATGCAGAATTTTATTTACATGCATAGGCTTTAGACTTAGCCGATCCCATCCAGTAACGGACTTTTAAAGACCAAAAATGTAATTGGCATCCATCTCCAATAATAAAAATTATGCTTCCCAGACACTCTGTGATTTCAGTAGCAGATGGTATGCAGCCGCCTCTGAGAGACACTGTTTTATGACTGTGAATGACTTGCAGTGAGTCTTGATAAATGAGCACTTGATCTAATCACCAGCCTGTTTTAAAGTGAGCTTTGCAAAAAAGTCACTTGCAGCCATCACTTACTGTGACTGATTTCTGTTCCAGATCTATTCCTCCAGCAACACTAAATCCCAGGCCAGCTCCTTCTTCTTTGTGCAAGACTACGAAGTATGTGTCTTCTTTGCTCTAGCAGAAAAATGGAGGTGGAGGGGAAGGAGAAGAAAAACAAAACCAAAGATCAAGACCAAGTTCCCGCACAAATGACAAATTCCCAGTACTCTCAGACTATGGCAGGTGAAAAAAGCAACTCAAGGAATTGAAACTGAGACATTAAATGCATTTCTGTTCATGCTACAGGTGAGTAGCAGCCATATAGAAGAACTCAGGTGACAGCAAAGGTTTCTTCAGTCAGTTCAAGGCTAGAAAGCAAAGTCAAAATTACGATAGTGGAAGGGTATTAAACCTTGGGCAGCCTAATTTTCACAGACTGTAATCAACTTTGCATTCCTCGACATTCAGCAGTCAAAACTCAGTAGTTCCCATACACCTTTCTGGACCAAGCATTGTACTTTCCAGGGAATTACTGACACTTTTGTTATTCCACTTCTTCCTCTTGAAAGGCAGTTACAAAGATGTAATGCAGGGCAGTTGTATCAACCTCTTCTCAACAGTGCTGGACAACCTTGCAAGGGGCAGTGGCTACAAATTGAAGCTTGGGAATGTTATATGGGACAGCAGGAAAAGCTGTTTCACTTGGGAGGTGAAAATCAGGAGCCTTTTAGTGATCCAAATGGGACTAAGCTATGCTGTTGTGGAAATGGGAGCATCTAGCACTGGAAAGGGACTGGTGCAGGTCTGCACTGGGGCTGAACTTGGCTCCAGACCAGAACAAAAGTGTAAAGCTGATTTCTTCGAAGTGATGGCCTGCTGCCAAAATACAGAATTTGCCATGAGAGAGAAGCAGTCCCGTCCAGCAAGTTTAGTGCTGTCTTCTGAATGGTTATTAGGACAAAACCAGACACTGTTAGAGAGACCACATTTTGTGGTGTAAAGGGGGACTATAAGCAGGCATTTGGTGGAGCAATGGGATAGTAACCATCTGTGGGGCAGAGCATCAGAAGTGGGGAGTAGACAGCAGGTCTCTCAGCTTTTCCCTGGGATCCCATCCAACATCAGTCATTTCCAGAAACTGCCAACACTAAAATTAACAGCACATCATTAGAAACCAACCTCTTAATCTATTTAGCATTAAATGACATATTTAATTCACTAAACTCAACATTTTAACTCAGTGTTTGCGTTTTAATTTTGTTTCAAAAGGCACATCGAACCACAGATTATTATAGTTTTTTGGTGAAACAACAGTCAAATTCTTGGTCTCACTGTGTGGTTTTTTGCCAAATAGTGGCCCTGGAAGATTTTCTGCATTAGAGGCATCCCTGCAATGTACAAAGCCAATGTCAGAAACTAATGCCACCCTGCTCCACATCACTGATCCATCAGCGCTCAAGGAGAGAGGAGCAGTCAGGGTTGAACAGGGTCCACAGTCTTTTGTAGATGTTAAGACCCTTCTCACCTGTACTCAAGTGAGAACAGCTTTATGTTAGGCTAGAAATAATAAAATCAGTGAAAGAGGATAGCCTAGGTACTTAAAAGTGAAGTGAGGGTGATGGAAACATACACATATCTTTGACCGTTAAGTACTATATAGCAATCCTTTTTGTTTAAGGGGTCAGGTTCTTTCCAACCCTTGCTACCACAATTTAATTTGCTTACACGGGGGAAGAAAAAAAGTAAAAATATCAGAGGCTTAGACGTAAGAGGGTTGTGTGAGGACCACACGTCCTGGGCCAGTCAGCAACACAGACTGAACCCTGGCTTCCCATTGCTGAAGTCGTGCATTTCCTCCCTCCCCAGCTCTCAATGCTGTCCTCAGCCAGCACGTGTACTATGCGGCGCAGAGACCTGGCTATGGATGCTTATTGCTTTACTTGGCCACACAGCGGACACACAAGGCCTCCAGTGATCACCTCTGTTTAGCCTGTTAGCCAAAGATCACCAGTCATACAGATTTAAACAATAAAATGCCTGTTTTGTTTTTTTTTTTTAACATTAGTAGCAATCTGAATTCTCAGTCCGAATCAGGCAGTCCATCTCATTTTTCAGCAATTGCATAACTATGAAGAACTGTCCTATTGTACATTTAAATCCAGCATTTGACTAGCATAAAATTTTCCAGCGTACGTGCCATACTAGGCTTAAATATGGATAAGAAACTATGTGGACAAGGAGTGCATTCCAAAAAACATTCAGCTTTATAAATATTTGAGTTCTCAGGCTTTGAAAAGTGGCATAAATAAATAATCTCTCCAAGACCCCATGCAAAATACTTCAAAGAACACTTAACTACCTTCGGCCAGAAGTACAATCCGATCCTAATTTTATCAGTAAACCTACCAAACCCTCTTGGCTCACCAAGCTCTTGGGAGTTGAAAGCTTTAGCTACACTGTCCCTGGAAGGAGGTAAAGCTGGGTATTTTGGGGAGGTTCTGTTCCCCCCCAGTCTGTTGTATGTTTGAAATAGCAACCTTTATGAATAAGACCAGGAACACTCTAAATGCAGCTCAGCCAGCAGTTATGCAGACCAGATGGCAGTTTCTCCTCCAGTGCTGTCATTATTTTATCAACTTCTGTTCTGGTTTTAAAAGGATGTGGATGTATCCCAAAAACACAATCACTGCAAACAGGGAAGTAATGTTCTAGCAATCATTTCACTTTGGAGGCCTTCTTTAAACACCTAGATAATGAAGCAGGTTATCTTAATGCAATAACCAGTTTCCACAGAAGAGAGCAAAAAGGTCACAGGAGTCTCTTACAAACCCTCCAGCAGCCGCTTTCTGGTGTTGCAAGACACCAGTTCAGCATCAAACAAAATAAATTCCATTTCCGTGATCGCAGCTTCTAGTAAAAGGCGGGTGCTTCCAGGTATAGAGAGGAGCAGAGCTCCTCTTGCGTGGTGGGCAAAATGCGTCTGACCCAAATGGGTGGTGGAAAGGTAAAATCTGATGTGCAATTATTGGCAAACCCAGGAGTTTCTTAGATGTACTAATGACTCAAATGGAGGCATACTTCTCCACTTAAAATAGGTCTATTTATTACGGCTCAAAACTGCTTTCGCACTGGACAAACTATAACCATTCTTATACCACTTATTATGGTTTATAGCAGGCATTCAAAAACCAGCATTAGTAAAACTACCATCAACTGTAACCTACGACAGGACTACTGGAGGAGCTCTGAAACTGTTTGGAAGAGATTTTATCTGCCAGTAAGAAAACCCTTAAAAATACCGCCAGTAATCTGGTTTTTACCTTTACTTGTGCTTTGACTTCTTGGAGCATAGCAGCAACGTCACATGTTGGTACTACTGCTGACAAAACAGATTGCAGTTTTTGCTGGTCCAGGCTTGACACAAGCAGCTGATCCAAGCTAAAATGAACAGAAAAATATAAAAGACAGCTTTATGATTCTAGACTGTGTAGAGATATGTTTCAGGTATACAGTGTAGGTTGCCTTAGGGTAAACAATGAAGGGCCAGCTCATCGAGCAGAAATCTTGAAAACAGGTAAGAAATGGTGTATGCTGGGAGAATGGCAAGGGGAAGAGAAGACAATTTAAGAATAACTCTGAAAAATCAGTCCCCGTTCTGTTCCCCTCCTCCTTCCCCAATGGTTTTAGCAACAGACATTAACAAAAACAAGGAGACAGCTACATCTGAAGACTGCTTCTGGCAGGACAACAAGCTCGTTTGTCACTGCAGGCTGTGCTGGCAGCCAGCGCTGCACAGCCTCCCCGCCACAGTGGCTGCTGTGCCGTAACGTGGCCAAAAACTGACCAAAACCAGCTAGAGGGGACAAAGAAAAGGAGCCCAGTCCTGCCAGGATAAAGTGTTTCACTCTGTACTGAAGTGTGGCCACCACCAGACAGCAGCATGGCAGCTCTGAGGGATCAAGAGCATGAAGAACAGCACCCCGAATCGTGAGGTGAATGGGAGCTGGAGCCAAAGCTGAAATGCACTTTGGGGCGGACCTGGGGCAATGGGGAAGCTTTGCCCCGGGAGAGGCTTCTGGGGATAAAAACAAAACAGCGGTAGCAAAGTTGACACCAACCTTATGGACCAGCTGTTTTCTGAGCGCTCCCCATCCAGAGAGCTGCCATGGGGAACGTCATCATCCGAGGCAGACCCCGGTGTCCCCGGAGCCGCTGTCCCGAGGGCTGCTGGCACCCATCCCCATCGCACCAGCTTCAGTGGGGCCGCAGTGGGCTGGCGTGGCTGCATCACTCCGGGCAGGTGTGCCGAGGGCTCTGCGGGGTGTGATTTCCAGCTCCGTCTTGAAGCAGGCAGGCTGCGGCGGCCCCGAGAAGCCCTCTCCACACAACTTGTCCAGGTCGGGCATGCTGAGGGCCCTCAGCTCCCGCAGCCTGGAGCGGGACAGCGGTGGCCGCCCCAGACCCCGGCTGCGGCGCGCCTGTGAGGCCGAGGGGGAAAAGGCGGTCACGTCTGCCCCAGCGCCACCCTCCTCGCTCCTCTGGGGCTTTCCTTCCCCCTTGCTGCCCTCTGCCACACGCGTGGGCTCTGCACTGGTGGGAGACTTGGCCATGGAGTTGGATGGGCTCGGGCTGCCGCCGTAGGAGCTCAAGCTGCGCCGCAAGGCCCGTGGTGTCTCGGCAGGGCTGGCTGCGGTGGCCATCCCACCACACGACCTCCTGGTGAGGGGGGACCTTGCAGCCGAGTGTATATCGATAGCCTTCACGATGGGCCGGTCGAAATTTGCCAGGTTTTCAAAGGATTTGATCCTCTGTTTGACAGAGAAGGATGAGGTAGGTTCATGTGGCCAGTTCAGCTCATAGTAGTAGTAATTCCTCCTGAAGTTCCTCAGCTTATCGGTGGCAGGGCAGCTAATGTCACTGGCTGAGGGGGAGGTGTCATGGACTCTCTGGGTGCTTTTGGAGGCGTATGCCTGCTCCTTCCCACTCTGGACATTCGGCGGGTTGAGATGGACCATCTTTAACATTCCTGTCACCGCCTGAGAGTATTTCTCCTCTGCAGCGTGGCCCCGGGGTCCTTGCATGGGATGAACCTCTGCAACATGGCAGTCCTCCCTCAAGTGACCTGATAACTGGGCTGGCATCGAGTAAGTCCTCGTGACAGGTTTTGACAAGCCATAGAGATTTCTGTCTCCGGCAGTATCCGCTTTTGAGAAATACTGGATGGTCCCCATCTCCTCAGTCAGCCGAGGCACTTCTGCGTTCGCCTCTTCTGTTTTCTCCAGCAATGGCAGCTGCAAAAACGATGCTGGTGAGGAAGAGGCAGAGGAAGAGGAGGAAGAGGATGATGAGGAGGAAAGCTTCACCTCAATGAAAGTACGCTGGATCTCCTGCCCTTCC